CCTTCCTTCCTCCTCACCTCCTTCCTTCATTTCCTCCTCACCCTCCCTTCCTTGCACCCCTCCTTCATTCCTCCTCACTCCTCCTCCTCTCCTCCTCCTTCCTTCCCCACCCTCCCTTCCTTGCTCCCCCACCTTCCTTCATTCCTCCTCACCCTCCCCTTCCTCCCCTCTTCCTCCCCCACCCTCCCCCTTCCTTCATTCCTCCCTCCACCCTTCCTTCCTCCTCCACCCTCCCCTTCCTCCTCATCCCTCTTCCTCCCCATCCCTCCCTTCCTTCCCTTCCTCCACCCCTCCTCTTCCTCCTCACCCTCCCTTCCTCCTCCTCCTCCTCCCCTCCCTTCCTCCTCCTTCCACCCCACCCTTCATTCCTCCTCACCCTCCCTTCCTTCCTCCTCCCCTCCCTTCCTCCCTTCCCACCCTTCATTTCCTCCTCACCCTCCTCCTCCCTCCTCCTCCCTCACCCTCCTCCCTTCCCTCCTCCTCCTTCCTCCATTCCTTCCTCCACCCCTTCCATTCCTCCTCACCCTCCTTCCTCCTCCTCCTCCCTCACCCTCCCTTCCCTTCATCCCTCCTCCACCCTTCCTCCCTTCCTTCCACCCCCCCTTCCCTTCCTTCATTCCTCCACCCTCCTTCCTCCTCCTTCCTCCCCTCCCTCCTCCTTCCTCCCCACCCTTCATTCCTCCTCCTTCCTCCTCCTTCCTTCCTCCTCCATCCTCCCACCCTCCCTTCCTTCCCCACCCCTTCATTCCTCCTTCACCCTCCTCCCTCCTCACCCTCCCCTCCCTCCTCCCCACCCCTTCCTTCACCCTCCCTCTCCCTCCTCACCCTCCTCTCCTCCTCCCCACCTTCCACTTGCTCCCACCCTCCCTTCCTCCCTTCCTCCCCACCTTCCCTTCCTCCCCACCCTCCATTGCTCCTCATCCTCCTCATCCTCCATTGCTCCCGGGTGATTGGGGTAGCCTAGAGTGGTTAAAGCGTTGGCTTGTCACGCCGAGGACCCGGGTTCGATTCCCCACATGGGCACAATGTGTTAAGCCCATTTCTGGTGTCCCCCGCTGTGATATTGCTGGAATATTGCTAAAAGCGGCGTAAAACTAAACTCAGTCAGTCAGTCAGTCAGTCCATTGCTCCCCACCCTCCCTTTCTCCTCCATTGCTCCCCATCTTCCCTTCCTTCTCATCCTCCCTTCCTCCCCACCCTCCATTGCTCCCCATCCTCCTTCCTCCCCACCCTCCATTTCTCCCCATCCTCCCTTCCTCCCCTCACCCTCCCTTCCTCCCCACCCTCCCTTGCACCTCACCCTCCTTTGCACCCCACCTTCCCTTGCATCTCACCCTCCCTTGCACCCCACCTTCCTTTGCACCCCACCCTCCTTTGCACCCCACCCTCCCAGAAATGTCATACTCTGCCAACAAACATGGGTACACTAAATATTTCTGCCAAATTATCATATATTGTAAATAAGTCAGTTGCTTAATTAAACGTGTCAGAAATAAATGTCTGTCTGATACATTTCCACGGGCCTGATAGTCCTGGCTGCCTGTTATCATGGTTATTACTCCCACTTGTTGAGCATATCCTGATGACTGTACAGATCAATGTAAGTGGACCAGCTGTAGTGTCCTACAGTCAATATTGTATGATTTCTGTGTAATGTATATGTGTTTGTGTTGATCCAGCTGTATATTGGTGGCAATGGAGCACTGATGGCTGCAAAGGCATCTATGCTTTTCCCAGATGTTGCGGTGAGATTCATGACCATTATATGTGTAATGCTACTAAATTAAACAATCCATCACAGTCTGTATTCATAGCTGAAGACAATTCATATAGTATTGATCACACATGCTGGCCCTAACACAGAGATGCCAACCACTCCGAATTTGGAGGAGTTACTCCAATTTTCAAATACAAAATCCACACTCCGATTTGTCTATAAAAACTCCGATTTTTAGAAAATACAAATATGTTTATAAATTTAGAATGTTTGAAAGAATTTTTGTAATTTGTTCATTTGAGTTAAGAATTATCTGGTTAAGCATGCCCAGAGATTGTATATTTCCAGGCTAAATCTAAAGATTTCCACAGGGGAAGTCCCCCAGACCCCTACCGTCAAACGCTCCCACACTCACCCCCAACTCACACCTTCAGGGCTGGGGAATCGCTTTTAGCAAGGCATGACTCCACTTTCATTTGATTCAGGGTTGGCATCTCTGCTAACATTCTAAAGACTGACTTCTACTACACACTATGTTGGAGCCCAGTGACTGATTTGTTCTTCATGTATTTACTGCTGATTGTCAGTTTTTGGAATATTTTAAAAATGACATGTTATAACATGCTTACATTTGTAATGGGAGGATATTAACTGAATCTGTTAATATTTCAAGTGTCATGGAAGTAGTGCAGTCAGGGCAGTAAGAGAGTTGCATGAGTACCTTCATTCTTTACCTAGATTCAGACAGTTGGATGATACTTTGACACTGAAGGACCTAGTGAGTGAGAAACATGTCAAGTTGGCTTAACAATGTAGGTTGTATTCTTCTCTCGAGGATAATACGGTCTGATGTACGCCTCTTTGCTGTAGTGTCACTCGAGCTGGTAGGCGAGGGATGACACTGCTACAAAAAGGCGTACATCAGACCATATTACCTGAGGGAGAAGTTTACAAGATATTTATCTTACCACCATGTTAAATGTACAAAATATCATTTTATGTTATTTTGAAGATCGATAAGCTCGCTACAGACTACATGACATGTAAACAAAATGGCGTCTGAATCAGTGAAACATATTCTGACAAGCTCAGAACTGTTATAAAAATGGTATAAGTTGAGTGTGCAAACGATGCAATGTATAAAATAGTTCAAGTAAAGCAGTGAAAATATAATGTATACATAGTAAAATAAATGTATACATAGTGAACTCAAAAACAGCTAATCAAATGGTTTTCCAACTCTATGCACTGCGTGCGTCATGTTATGACGTCATACGATTGTTAGCGATACAGCTTCATGGCGAAGAGTTTGGCGGTTACCGTGGCAGCTAGTATTTTTTACCAATAAAATTAAAGTATTTTACATGAAGGTAGGATAATAGGCAACATTTTCACTCCTTTCCATGCCTACTTGCAGTGTCCACTTTTGGAATATTCACACAGTAACATGGGATGTTTCAGATCCAGTTTGTTGGTCCAGTAGGACCCATCCTTCAACAGATGATGCCCACTTCTCTGTCTATTCCTGAAAGCAGCTTCATCTCTAAGGATGAGTTCCATCTCATCATGGAGTACAAGGTGGGGGAGGTGTGGGGGGAGAACTCAGCACCTGTGGCCAACCGCTTCATCTCCAGCTGTGACTTCTCCAACTCCAGACTGACCATGCTGGACACCTTCTTCAACAGTCTGGACAGTTTCACCCCTGACCTCATCCTCTTGTCAGGCCTTCATTTACTTGATGGTCAGACCAGTGAGTTCTTCAGCAAAACAGTAACACATCTGTCCTCCAAGTTACAGCAGATACCTTCGTCTGTTCCCATTCATCTAGAATTTGCAAGCATGGCTACACAGAGCTACGTGAAAGACATTTTGGAAAACGTAAGTCTGTTATATTGTAACCTCATCCCAGAAAATGTAATTCAAAGGAAATGACACATAAAATCCATTCTTCATGGGGTTTTACACAGTTATCGAAAAGTTTCCTTCATTTTCATCATAATTGCCCACTGAAAGTGATGAGTTGGGTGCATTGTGTGAAATAGCCACTGGCCAGCTAGCCTGTGGCTAGTAAAAATCCAGTCGGGCCGGTAAATCTCCAGTCACCGGCCCGACTGGCTAGTGAATTTTCATGGGGTCATTTTATAAATATATCACTCTCTCCGACTTGTTAAGTTCTAATATACTATTAATTCATGGAAGATAATGGCCTGATAAATAATGGTATTTTACCTTTTTGTAATGGTGTGCTTAGCTTTTACATTCAAATTTTGGGATAGTGAATTATTGTGTGGGCTAGTAACTTTCAGGCATAGCTAGCCCGACTGGCAAGCACAATTTGGAAACTACTTCGCACACTGGTTGAGTGTGATAGGCATCACCAGTGTAGTGCAACTGTTGGTATCTGTGAGAACACAGGCATCACCAGTATTGTGAAAATGATGGTATCTATGAAAACACAGGCATTGTCAGTATATTGAAACTGTTGGTATCTGTGAGAACCACAGGCGTTACCAGTGTAGTGAAACTCTTGGTATCCATTAGAACACAGGCATCTCCAGTGTAGTAAAACTGATGGTATCTGTGAGAACACAGGCATCGCCAGTATAGTGAAACTGATGGTATCTGTGAGAACACAGGCATCGCCAGTATAGTGAAACTGATGGTATCTGTGAGTGTGAGAACACAGGCATCTCCAGTGTAGTGAAACTGATGGTATCCATGAGAACACAGGCATCTCCAGTGTAGTGAAACTGATGGTATCTGTGAGAACACAGGCATCACCAGTGTAGTGAAACTGATGGTATCCATGAGAACACAGGCATCACCAGTATAGTGAAACTGATGGTATCTGTGAGAACACAGGCATCACCAGTATAGTGAAACTGATGGTATCCATGAGAACACAGGCATCACCAGTATAGTGAAACTGATGGTATCTGTGAGAACACAGGCATCACCAGTATAGTGAAAGTATCTGTAGTAGGAAACTGATGGTATCTGTGAGAACACAGGCATCACCAGTGTAGTGAAACTGATGGTATCCATGAGAACACAGGCATCACCAGTATAGTGAAACTGATGGTATCTGTGAGAACACAGGCATCACCAGTATAGTGAAACTGATGGTATCTGTGAGAACACAGGCATCACCAGTATAGTGAAACTGATGGTATCCATGAGAACACAGGCATCACCAGTATAGTGAAACTGATGGTATCTGTGAGAACACAGGCATCTCCAGTGTAGTGAAACTGATGGTATCTGTGAGAACACAGGCATCACCAGTGTAGTGAAACTGATGGTATCCATGAGAACACAGGCATCACCAGTATAGTGAAACTGATGGTATCTGTGAGAACACAGGCATCACCAGTGTAGTGAAACTGATGGTATCCATGAGAACACAGGCATCACCAGTATAGTGAAACTGATGGTATCCATGAGAACACAGGCATCACCAGTATAGTGAAACTGATGGTATCCATGAGAACACAGGCATCACCAGTATAGTGAAACCATGGTATATCACCAGTATAGTGAAACTGATGGTATCCATGAGAACACAGGCATCACCAGTATAGTGAAACTGATGGTATCTGTGAGAACACAGGCATCACCAGTGTAGTGAAACTGATGGTATCTGTGAGAACACAGGCATCACCAGTGTAGTGAAACTGATGGTATCCATGAGAACACAGGCATCGCCAGTGTAGTGAAACTGATGGTATCCATGAGAACACAGGCATCACCAGTGTAGTGAAAGATGAGAACTGATGGTATCTGTGAGAACACAGGCATCACCAGTGTAGTGAAACTGATGGTATCCATGAGAACACAGGCATCACCAGTGTAGTGAAACTGATGGTATCCATGAGAACACAGGCATCACCAGTATAGTGAAACTGATGGTATCTATGAGAACACAGGCATCTCCAGTGTAGTGAAACTGATGGTATCCATGAGAACACAGGCATCGCCAGTGTAGTGAAACTGATGGTATCCATGAGAACACAGGCATCTCCAGTGTAGTGAAACTGATGGTATCTGTGAGAACACAGGCATCACCAGTGTAGTGAAACTGATGGTATCCATGAGAACACAGGCATCACCAGTATAGTGAAACTGATGGTATCTATGAGAACACAGGCATCACCAGTATAGTGAAACTGATGGTATCCATGAGAACACAGGCATCACCAGTATAGTGAAACTGATGGTATCTGTGAGAACACAGGCATCGCCAGTATAGTGAAACTGATGGTATCTGTGAGTGTGAGAACACAGGCATCACCAGTATAGTGAAACTGATGGTATCTGTGAGAACACAGGCATCGCCAGTATAGTGAAACTGATGGTATCTGTGAGAACACAGGCATCGCCAGTGTAGTGAAACTGATGGTATCTGTGAGAACACAGGCATCACCAGTATAGTGAAACTCTTGGTATCTATGAGAACACAGGCATCGCCAGTATAGTGAAACTGATGGTATCTGTGAGAACACAGGCATCGCCAGTATAGTGAAACTGATGGTATCTGTGAGAACACAGGCATCGCCAGTATAGTGAAACTGATGGTATCTGTGAGAACACAGGCATCGCCAGTATAGTGAAACTGATGGTATCTGTGAGTGTGAGAACACAGGCATCGCCAGTGTAGTGAAACTGATGGTATCTGTGAGAACACAGGCATCGCCAGTGTAGTGAAACTGATGGTATCTGTGAGAACACAGGCATCGCCAGTATAGTGAAACTGATGGTATCTATGAGAACACAGGCCTGTTCGAGAACTGCACTGGTGTTTCAAACCACACTGGGTACAGTTCCTCCCATCCCTCTTCAGTTTATACAGAACCCACAGTATTGCTCTGTAGTTTTATGCTGTCCAGTGATTGTTCAAACATTAGTCTTTTCATTATGTCTGGTTTGCAGGTGCTGAAGCATGTTGACTCTCTGGGCCTGAACGAACAAGAGTTAGTGTTTTCCTCCAGGGCAGGAGGTGGGCCACACAGCAAAGACACAGACCACCAACTCGCCCAGCCAGAGGTGCACAAGATTTCTGACATCCTCCTCTGGTTTCTCCATACATATGGCCACTCTGAACGCAACCCGTCCTCCCGTCTTACACGGATACACTTCCACTCCCTGACATACCACATCAGCGCCACTGTGGGGGGTCGCTGGCACAATATCGAGTCCTCTGTTGCTGCAGGAACAAGAATAGCTGGAATACAAGCCTGCAATGTCTCCCATTTGTCAGCTGATATACTTGATATCAAAATACCGCTTAGATATAAGCTTTTTTCAGGTGATATAGACAGGGACTTTAACCCTGCCGGACCTGTAGTTTCTTTTAGTAGGGAAGGGGTAAATTTTGTCTTTAGTCCTGTGTTAGTATGTAAGCATCCTCTTAAAACTGTTGGTTTAGGGGATGCTATTTCTACAACTGGTTTAATGTATTCACAGTTTGTGCCAAGCTGATGTTGATGTGGAGATAGTGATTTCCTCTTGTGTTTGCAACAAATGTTAATGTCATTAGAGAATGTAACCAGTTTTGCTGGTTACATGTTGGGTGAAGTCAAATATTTCACAACTGCAGAAACACAAGAACTTGAAATACCTGAATCTCGTTTGGTGTGTTAATATTGTAGTATGTTTGTCGTTAATTATCTGTCTCAACCTTATGGTCATAGAAAAGACTCCCTGTGTTATTGATACTAGCATCTAAATCAATAACTGGGCACATTCAGCATGGCCACCTCACAGATCTGGGACATGCTTGTGTGTGGGATAGGATATGGTTGTGTGTAGGATAGGAGACGCAGGTTTTGGAAGTTGAACTATCTAGATGGTTGTAAGTACAGTAGAACATGGATATAGCGTACAAACGGATATAGCGAACAAATTGAAAAGTCCCGTCAACAGTCCTTTATAATATCATTAAAATTATACGTGAATAATGAACTCGTGAGTAGCAAATTAACGGCTATAGCGAACTGATTTACTAACCCCAAGACCCAATTAACGACGTGATTAACGAACTCACTCAGTGTCAGCTCAGCCACTTAGTGGTACAGTATACATCAATCTTGTTGGCAGTGAATCAACATTGTTTGATGGTCATTAATTAATTAACAAAACAAACATATCGTGTTTAACCCATTCAACAAATAAAAATAAACTTCATATTTATCAACATGATATAGGTAATGTCTGTGAATGTCTACATCTCTACAATCCAAGATGGCGGTCAAATGTGAATAACGAACAACGGATATAGCAAACTTTATTTCTTGGTCCCTTGGAGTTCGTTATATCCGTGTTCTACTGTATCATGTTTGAAGACATGCTTGGTATGCACTGTTGTAAGTAGGAACAATATACATGATATAGGTGAGTGTTTGTTTTGCATGTATTTGATAATGACAACAACAAAACATTTCCCACACTGACACCATTAAAGACTTTGTTTGAGTTGCTTTTTAAAAGCCACCCAAGTGATATTCATTAAAAACCTGTATCACTCTGGGCGTTCATTGCCGATAGAGCTGAATTACAGTGATCTGACTGTAATACTGATCACAATGACAGACCAGCTTACACTGGGCTAACATCATTCCTGATATATGGCTCATACAGTGGTCAGAATCCCTTACATGCTGAGCAAAACAAATGTCATTTCCCATCACTGCCATTACTTGACAATCCAAAAGTTGAAATCCATTTGCTACAAATGCAATGACCATTTCTGTATATTCAAGTGAGTGTTCAAAATGTTCTTTCTCAAAAGCAGAAATATATTTATTTAGAACTATTGTAGTACATCAGGTACATGTGTATGTGCTTCCTCATGCTGAGCCTGGTACGTAGGACTATCAGGTTGTAGAGGACCTATTGCTTGGTGTCCCATGAATCTCAATGACTGGACAAATGATGGCTAATGCCATACTGTTACTCCTACCTCTTTGAGAAGACGTTCTTTACATTCACCTCCAGAACATTCCGGTAGAAGATGCCCTTTATTTCCTCCTGGAACCCTGCTTACAGTGACCATGTTTGAACAACCTTGGAATATGTTTACAGTAATTTCATTCTGAAATATATTTACATATGTTTACATACTTGAACAAAATTAATGTTCTGTTATTTGCATATTGGATGATGTGTCCATTGTGCCATCAGTGGCCATCATGACTTCACTGGCGATGAGGTTGTGTTGTGTCAGCTCATCATCATCATCATCTGTTATGTTTGAAACTGAATTATCTGTCCTGAAAAATATATATTAATTCGTCATAGATCAATGAACATTTAGAATTTTAATCAAATATACTTTGGAAACTTCCCCAGCTATTGTTGACTAACTAGCAAGAGTGTAATTTGTGGTGTAGGAGGTGTACAAAGTCTGAACGGAGGCCCGAAGGCCTTTCATGTTATGTACAGATTACATATTCAATATTACAACCTTTTGAAAGCCCTGACAATGAGATGATTCACAGTTACTGAGGACAGAGATTCACGCGGCCTGTCGTGTATGTAGCTCACTGCTTCAGTCAGTCACAGAGGATCATCATGTAAGGGGCCATCTGGAATATTTAGCAGTCCAGGCTTCAAGTCATACAGTTTTTTTCACACAGTTTTCTTCAGAATACCCAGCAAGTCCATTGAACTATTTGTATTTTGTCCATCATATTAAAAAACGTCCCTGTCCTCATCTCCATAAATACATCCTGCCATAGGTTGCTGACATTCATTTATCAAGACATTCCATTATACTGAAACATTTGCCCTGAGTGTACACCAGGAATCCTGCAGTACTGCACTGATGGGTTCAACACTCACCTGTAATGGGACCAGCTTGGTGTTACTATATTTACAGTTTGTATAGTCAACTCCTTAGGTGGATACTGGATAACTAGAAAATAACATAAGTAAATATTTTTGTCTGTCCTGGCGAGAGTCATGTATTAATGATGATATACATCTGGGAAACGAGAAATTATATGTATATATCCTATTAAGGCATTCTTACTCCTGTAATCAAACATTGTGGCTGTGCGTTAAGGTTAGATTAGAAGTGTAGAAGTGGTCGATTTTGAAACCCCCTTGTACCCTTGTTGGATGAGTAGTTGACTGCATGTAAGTATATGTGTTTGTGTCTGTCCTTTGATTGGCCTGACAATGCAAGTTGACTCTACAGGGCGACAACATGTGTTGTCAGTTTCTTTGATTGGCCTCTCAGTGCAAGTTGACTCTACAGGCTGACAAGATGTGTTGTCAGTTTCTTTGATTGCCCTATCAGTGCAAGTTGACTCTACAGGGCGACAAGATGTGTTGTCAGTTCTTTGATTGGCCTCTCAATATGCAAGCTGACTCTACAGGGCGACAACATGTGTTGTCAGTTCTTTGATTGGCCTCTCAATGCAAGCTGACTCTACAGGGCGACAACATGTGTTGTCAGTTTCTTTGATTGGCCTCTCAGTGCAAGTTGACTCTACAGGGCGACAACATGTGTTGTCAGTTTCTTTGATTGGCCTCTCAGTGCAAGTTGACTCTACAGGGCGACAACATGTGTTGTCAGTTTCTTTGATTGGCCTCTCAGTGCAAGTTGACTCTACAGGCTGACAAGATGTTTTGTCAGTTTCTTTGATTGGCCTCTCAATGCAAGTTGACTGTTCAGGCTGACAACATGTGTTGCCAGGTTCTTTGATTAGCCTCTCAATGCAAGCTGACTCTACAGGGCGACAACATGTGTTGTCAGTTTCTTTGATTAGCCTCTCAATGCAAGTTGACTGTTCAGGCTGACAACATGTGTTGCCAGGTTCTTTGATTGGCCTCTCAATGCAAGTTGACTCTACAGGCTGACAAGATGTGTTGTCAGTTTCTTTGATTGGCCTCTCAATGCAAGTTGACTGTTCAGGCTGACAACATGTGTTGCCAGTTTCTTTGATTGGCCTCTCAATGCAAGTTGACTCTACAGGCTGACAACATGTGTTGTCAGTTTCTTTGATTAGCCTCTCAATGCAAGCTGACTCTACAGGGCGACAACATGTGTTGTCAGTTTCTTTGATTAGCCTCTCAATGCAAGTTGACTGTTCAGGCTGACAATATGTGTTGTCAGTTTCTTTGATTAGCCTCTCAATGCAAGTTGACTGTTCAGGCTGACAACATGTGTTGTCCGTTTCTTTGATTAGCCTCTCAATGCAAGCTGACTCTACAGGCTGACATGTGTTGTCAGTTTCTTTGATTAGCCTCTCAATGCAAGTTGACTGTTCAGGCTGACAACATGTGTTGTCAGTTTCTTTGATTAGCTTCTGAATGCAAGTTGACTGTTCAGGCTGACAACATGTGTTGCCAGTTTCTTGATTAGGTCTTCGTGTCAGTGTGCAGGTGGAGGGGCATCTTTGTGAACATGTGTGACATTCAGTCATCATACCCATGGATATGTTCAGTGACACATCATACAACCAAATGTTTTTGTTTCGAAAGGACTAGATAAGAATGACTGCAGTGTTTGGGTATTTGTATTAAAAGGTATATTGATATGATATTAATTTGCATTCTTATATCAAGTTATTATTATGTTTGTGTTTAGTTTAACTGATTGTTCTGTTGCTCAACAGTTTATTTCATCTGCGCCATGTTATCCTCATGTTCTTTCCTTCTTCCTCAAACACTATTGCTACACACTGTCACTTGTCACTTGTCATTGCTACACAGTTAACTTCAAGATGATACCATTTTTACTTATTGTGCTAGATGTGTTTTGTATTTACATGATAAAATATGTTATTTGAAGCAATAATCTGTGTAATGATATGATTCAACTAATTTACATTGTTTTATTGTACATCTAATAACAAAATCTAACTCCCTGCTTTCTCCAGACAACGAGTGGTGTGCCTCCACTGTCAGATTGTTGCACTACTTACCGGTATATGGCAGTTTGTTCAGGCTTCACATGATACACATGATTTAGTGAAATAGTGTTTCCAACATACTGGAGTTTCTTTTTATTTGATTGACAGAAGCTTGATTGTTGTGCATGGTGATAGTGACACACACTTCTGAAATGTTAAAAGTATTCATGTTGGGTTACATTTGTTGCTCGTAACAAACACTTCTTATTTGTTAAAAAAATAGCTTTGTATATTTTGGTATATACAGTTAAGTTTCTCTAAGTTCCATTTTTATTTGAGTTTTGGAACATTATCTGTGTTGCTGTCTTTATTGCATTGATTGTGTCATAAAACAATATTCAGTGGTTTCTATCAGCCTACATGACTGAAAGGGGGTTTATGTCGCCCTTCAATTGACCAATGAAATTGAAACTTCACATTCGCCAGTGATCACTCCCCTATTTGTTCAAGAGGTTAGAATCGAATTTTCATGCCTGCCATTATGGAAACCTGATTCAGTCCATTTCTTGGCCAGTTTTGACGCGTCGCACGTTAGGGATGGGGAACACGCACATCCCCGATACTTGTTAACACGATATTTCATGAACTGTCGTACCCAATGTCTTCAAATTTGGTGACAGCCTACATTGGGGGACACCGTGGTCCACTTATCAAACTTATATAAACGCAATATATCATAAAACATTGCACCCAATTTTAACCTCAGAGCTGAGGAATATATTGCCATTTCTTACAAATATGATGTCAGTAATTAACATAATGGGTATCCTGGTATGGTAGGGTTATAGGGGGTGGGGTACCTGGGTAGAGAAGTCGGACCTGTCCCAGCCCTAATACACTCTGATACTGACAGTGGATGTGTGCATCTGCATGTATACATTCACATCTACTCTATTCCTGAAATAGGAGAATATTCTGAGAAGTGACCATTTCTAAAAACTACATAACACAAATTGTAATCTTCTATGTGACCAAAAGATAAAAACTAGTAAATATGTTACATTTCATTCTTCTTTAGTGGCAGGGGACATTGCCATGTTAGTGGCAAACACTTGTTCTAATTAGGATACTCCTGAACAACTCATGCAAAGTGTGGTCTGGCATTATCATGTAGAAACGGTAGAAGGCCATTTACGAAATCCAGGTACCTCACAGCATTCAAGTTCCCTTTAATCACATTCATTGGTGTCCTTGCTACAGCTGTTATCCCAACCTAGAGCATTATGTCCCCACCTTGAAACGATCCCTTTCCAGAATGCATGGCCAGATGTAAGGTTCACCTGTACTCCTCCAGACACGTGTCCTGCCTGTGGCAGTACAGTAAAGATGGAAACGTAGCTCATCGGTGAAGAGAACTCTTCTCCACTCATATGCTCTTTTTTGATCTGTCGAATAATTGGTTGTTGGGCTGGAAGTCATGCATAGATGATGAGTAGAAGTCAACAAACTGTTGTCACAGATACACCTCTGTTGCCATCTGTGCTCCAAGCTGTAAGAGTTGCCGGTTGGAACCTGTGTCGGAGGTGCTTTGTTTGAATGCATTGGTCTTGGCATTTGAATTTGTTCCAGAACAATGAATCTAGAGGTTAGGTTCTTGACAGGCATATAGAAGTTGGTAATCAAGTGTAAGACAAAATATTATGGACGTCAACTTCTTCTTTAGTGTATACACATTTCAGGGCAAGGGCAAGGAATAGCCCTGAAACGTTGTGTGTACAATAAGGAAGAAGTTGACATCTACAATATATTTTGTCTTACAGATGAATAGAGGTGTTTTTCTGACTTATGCACTTCTGAAGACTTCAGTGAGTAAAGCTTTAATATCCAACTAGATAGAGTCGTACATGTATCATATATATATATGTGCTTTTATCTTGTGTCAATTTCATCATGTTAATATTGAAACCAAAAAGCATTTTCCAAGCATTTTCTGCGTTCTTTCTTTTTTTATAGCAATGATAAGCGTCTGGGTGGCCTTATGAACAAGTAAACATTGTTGGTCATTCTTTCAGCAAATTTTGTGCACTTCAAACAACAACTGCTTGATTGAGTTTCTTTGAACATTTTAACCACAATCTCTGTTTCAAATCCAAAGTGAGAGTGAATTTAGTTTTATGCCACACTCAGCAATATTCCAGCTATATGGCTGAGGTCTGTAAATCAATATGTCTGGACCAGACAATCCAGTGATTGGGAACCGATGACATGTGTCAACCAAGTCGGCGAGCCTGACCTCCTGATCCCATTAGTCGCCTCTTACAACAAGCATGGATTACTGAAGATCAACTCCAACCCGCATCTTCGTGGGTTTCCAAATACAAAAAATCAATCACAAGTTTACCAATAAAAGATTTCAAGTCACAATAAATTTTGCTTCAGAGTATGTGTTCTGTTATTGAGATATGTTAAATTGTGACCTTCAGTTGACCTTTGTACTTTGAACCATTCTCTTTAATTCGCTGAAAATGCATATTCTGTCACTGTGAACCTTTGTCTCCTTGGCAACCACAGAGACAATGAGTTTGAGACTGCACTTGCTTGTCCCTCCAATAGTGACATCTCAGTTTATTGAACGATTTTTGCTATTTTCACAATGGCAGCTATATTTACAAACAATAATGAGTCAATTTTGTTCATCATGTTGTTAGAAGTGGGACTCTACATGAATATTCCAGTTACTATTAAGTATTTTGAATTTTGAAGTTGTTTTTCTCTTTTCATTTCAACCATTGCCATCTCCATAACTCATTCATTTGCTTCAAAGTGTGATTACCTGTGTGGTATGAGGGTTACCAATGTAGCTAAATACAGTGATTCTGTTTGGGGGCTTTTGCAATATTTTATATTTGGTCTTATTTGGACTTTCTTCCTTAAATCTTTCAATCAGCATTTTCTTTCCTATTAACATAATATCCTCAGAAATCACTAATCTGTTCTCCATGTTCCCATCACTAATGACTTTCATTTGTTCAAGTGGTTTCAATAATATGTTCAGTGTATTTCCACAGCAGCTTTGTTCATTAAACTATTTACGGCTTCTGTACAACCATTTCTGTTATTATTGCAATTATACTGCAATGCTACTAAATTATCTTAAACAAAGTTTTCTTCTCTGTAAACATCCTTCCTGAAATTGCCAGCTGATGATAATTATCAGATTTTCCATGTGACTATCCCTTGTATTTGCCAATTGAACCTCTTGATAGCAGGTGTTTTGAGTGGCTATGTGTATTTGCCCTTGAACCTCTTGATAGCAGGTGTTTTGAGTGGCTATGTGTATGTGCCCTTGAACCTCTTGATAGCAGGTGTTTTGAGTGGCTATGTGTATTTGCCCTTGAACCTCTTGATAGCAGGTGTTTTGAGTGGCTATGTGTATTTGCCCTTGAACCTCTTGATAGCAGGTGTTTTGAGTGGCTATGTGTATTTGCCCTTGAACCTCTTGATAGCAGGTGTTTTGATTGGCTATGTGTATTTGCCCATGAACCTCTTGATAGTAGGTATTTTGAGTGGCTATGTGTATTTGCCCATGAACCTCTTGATAGCAGGTGTTTTGATTGGCTATGTGTATTTGCCCATGAACCTCTTGATAGCAGGTGTTTTGAGTGGCTATGTGTATTTGCCCATGAACCTCTTGATAGCAGGTGTTTTGAGTGGCTATGTGTATTTTGCCCTTGAACCTCTTGATAGCAGGTGTTTTGAGTGGCTATGTGTATTTGCCACTTGAACCTCTTGATAGCAGGTGTTTTGAGTGGCTATGTGTATTTGCCCTTGAACCTCTTGATAGCAGGTGTTTTGAGTGGCTATGTGTATTTGCCCTTGAACCTCTTGATAGCAGGTGTTTTGAGTGGCTATGTGTATTTGCCCATGAACCTCTTGATAGCAGGTGTTTTGAGTGGCTATGTGTATTTGCCCTTGAACCTCTTGATAGCAGGTGTTTTGAGTGGCTATGTGTATTTGTTACTGGTCTTCAGTTTCAGCCCCATCTGAGGCAGCATTAAGAGTTTATACACTTAGTCTTTCCATGCACATTCATACTGAAAAAGCAAAATGTCTCTAGGAAATTCATCTGGTGGTCCTCTTAAGGATAGTTTGCTGCATTTACTAGACGTCTCACTTTGGCTATGAATTCCTCAAGGTATAGGCTACCTTTGCTATGAATGATGAAATACCAAAGCTCTGTTCAATAAGCTGTGGTTTTACAAATGTCTTGAATCTATCCAGTAGCTGTCTAGTAATTTTCCTTCCTCACTTATCAGGCCACAGATGTTAAACAGTTCAAACAGTACCCTACAGATACTGCAGTAACTTGCACTGAAAAGTTCATCACATGTCTATACAACTTGTATCTGCTGTATAACACAGCAAAAGCTGATATTTGTTCCATTATCTGGGAACGATGTTCTGATTGTGATTCCTGTTGAATATCATTTCTTGATTGTATGTGTACATGTTTCTGTATGGCTGCAATAACCAAAGCCAGTAGTACAGCTTGCTTTATCAGTGTCCAATACAATCCACACCACACTTCTGACGTGCACATTGTGGAAACTTGTGTTTGGTGAAGACTGTTGAACATATCCAGGTGAGCTACAGTGTATTTATAATCGGAGATGTGTCACATGTAACCAGATATCAGAAATGTATGACAATGTTGCAAGATTTACATTATTTTACTTCTTCTAAGAAGCATGTGACGTCATTGTAATTGTCATGTCGGATTGAGGTTTGATACAGTTGTCATAGGAAGATAGTTTGGATGTCATTCCGGATCTGTACTTGAGTTAAGTGTATATTCAATGTTACCCAATAGACCAGAGCCAAAATATTGAGTGTCTGCACATAAGTGTAACACTCACTATCTATGGTGGACTACTTTTCCTCGCTACAGCCTTCTTGTTTTCCTGGAATGTTACTGATGCCAAAATGAATTGTGAGTTAATTACATCCTGCATGTTAAAAACACATTGAAATTGCATTAATATGCATCAGAGGAATATTTCAAGCAGAGACTTGTGTGTAGATCTGCTGTACATGTTGGATTGATTTTGTAGGATGTGTGTCCCATTCAATGAATGCTTTTGTTCTGATTGTCATGAATGAATTTGTAAGCATGAGGATAATGCTGGGGACAGGAGGTGGATCTTTATTGAAATAATCATGTTTTTCAGTGAAAAATATCCTCTTCATCTGTTCATCAATGAAATCGATCTCACAATAGACAGGCACTGACATGATCATGCCAGGTATTTTTACATGGCAATACATTATACCTGATCCATCTCTCCAGTAAAAGTACCAACTGAATTCCCAGTGCTCCTGTTGCACAGATTATGGAGGTATGAAGCAGAGGCTATTCAGTTTAAGCTGGGAAACAACTTGGAAACAGTGAAAAGAATAAATTTAGAGTGTGGATATATTTTTACGAAGCTAACTGCAGTATCTTTTACTGAATAGGAATAGATAGACATAGCCCAAAAATAAGGAACTGAAGCTGAAAGTGTCTGTGATATTCCCAGGTGTTACTGCATTTACACAATGCACAATTTTGGGTCTCATCACTCATGACTGTGAAGGTCCAATGTCAAAATGTCAATCTAGAATTTGTGACCTTTTTAGCACATTCAAGATGTTCAGTATACTGCAAACAATGTCGGCAGATCATGAATGAATCAACCTGCAAAATACACATTTTGATCATCTGTAAGGAAAACCCAATTTGGTTATTCTCAGATATCACTGATTACAGGGTGTAGCCATTTGTAGGTATGCAGTATTTATATACATTTCAGCAAGAAAAGTAGCTTGTGCCTTTTGTTGGGGAAAAATGTTCAAATGGTGAATAAAGTGCTTCTCATTGCATTACTGTTGTTTATGTTATTGTTATGCATGTTAATCCCTGCAACATTATTTGTTAATGTGAACACTCCCCATTTGATGGTACTTGTCCTACAGTGCAACACCTTCCCTTTGATGGTACTTGTCCTACAGTGCAACACCCTCCCTTTGATGGTACTTCCCTTTGATAGACCTACAGTGCAACACCTTCCCTTTGATGGTACTTGTCCTACAGTGCAACACCTTCCCTTTGATGGTACTTGTCCTACAGTGCAACACCTTCCCTTTGATGGTACTTGACCTACAGTGCAACACCCTCCCTTTGATGGTACTTGTCCTACAGTGCAACACCCTCCCTTTGATGGTACTTGTCCTACAGTGCAACACCCTCCCTTTGATGGTACTTGTCCTACAGTGCAACACCCTCCCTTTGATGGTACTTGTCCTACAGTGCAACACCACACATTAGATGGTACTTATCCTTTGATGGTACTTGTCCTACAGTGCAACACCCTCCCTTTGATGGTACTTGACCTACAGTGCAACACCACACATTAGATTGTACTTATGCTTTGATGGTACTTGTCCTACACTGCAACACCCTCCATTTGATGGTACTCCTACACTGCAACACCCTCCGTTTGATGGTACTCCTACACTGCAACACCAACCATTCGACCTTACTTCCAAATACTACTGACTTGTTGCATATTACATGATAATAATACATTAAGAAATGGCTTAAAAATGACATGGTCAACCTGAATCAGAATTCTGTGAGTAGTTTTGAGAGACAACAGCTGGGATCGCTCTCGTAAAGTTCAAGTTTCAAGAAGTATTTCAGAAAAGAAATCACAAAAGTCAACAGATAAATCAAGGAACCTCAAGATTCAGGTGGAGCCTCAGTCTTGTTGCTCTTTTTGTACAACTGCATCAGGAAGTTAGTTTATAAAAAATAATACATTTGAATGTGCCAAGGCACAAATCTTTTGAAGGTTGCTATCATTAAAAACAGAAATTCTTGGATTGGATTCTAACACCATCTCTGTCAAAACTGATTGAACAAGCTGTTACAAAGCAGCTTATGGATCATTTGTCAGTGAACAATATTTGGGATGACTTTCAGTCTTTGACCGACAGCACCTTCCACTGAGACACTTCTTCGCAGGGTTATTAATGACCTGAGATGCATTGTTGACTCTGGAGAAGTGTCAACAGTGGTGCTCATGGATTGGAGTCCTACATTTGACACAGTGGACCACTAGAAGCTCCTTGACACACTGGAACACCAGGTTGGAATCTGTAAATGCTTTAAGTCAGATTCAGCTCAGTCCACTTTCAAGTGAATTGAGAACAGCCTATAACTAAATGATGCTAAAAACTGAAGTCCTACTTGTTGGCAAACAGCAACACCTGAAAGGGATCATAGACAGAAAGGCCAATAGCAGCTCTAACCAAGCTTTGTTTTCTACACTTGTTCAAAGATCAAGGTGTTTGTATTAATTCAGATCTCTCCATTGAAGCTCAAGTAGACAAACTTTTATCAAAACATGCTCTTTGTAAAGTACATTAGATCTACCACAGAAAGTGTACAAATCATTGTCAGGTGTCTTTTCTCGGCTTGATTAGACTACTGCAATGGGCTGCTTTTAAGTCTCAACAAAGCTCACCTGTACGAACTGCAAAAAGTTGAGAATACAGCTGCTGGCATCGTTTTTAAATAATGAAAACATGACAAGAACTCATTTTTAAAAAGCATTCATTTATTGACTTCAGCAAATTTTACAGTTTTGTATCATGGCACTGTATTTCATTTTGAATTGGTATTCAAATATTTTCTAAATAAAGTAAAGGACCAAAAACTTCCACACAATATTTGAATCCAAAAAGTGAAAAAGATAATCAAAGTCAAAGTCTAAACTCAGCAAAAAATGGAATATTAGCATTGAATTTAATTAAAAGCTAAATATGTATTGTATTTCATTACACTGTTAACAAAAATGAATGAGTAATAGCTATAAATAGCTTTTTAATACGGAATATACACAATCAATATGTATTTCAACTCCTTACAACAGTTCAGGGGAACAAACATACACGAAACGCCAAAAGAAACGTTACCCTCCTTCTTTAATGACGGAGGTACCTATCTTCAGCTTTAGTTGTAATGCGTGGACGTCCACTTCTTGGACACTATACTGTGACCCCAGTCTGTCTGAAGCCCTGAATATATCTTATAACCGTGATATGGTGGCATCCAAGGGCGTTGGCAACAGCATTGTATGTCGACCCCATCTGCACCATCCCAATGGCTTTTTCTCTCTTCAGCTGTTAATCGTGGCATATTTCTCGTACTTGTGTATCATATCATGTATTCTAGTTGTTCATGCAGGTAGGAGGGTAACGTTTCTTTTGGCGTTTAGTGTATATCAACATAAACTCTCATGGCTCTTCAGGCCAGGTGAACCAAAAATACTAATGTTTTTCCAATATATGTTACAAATTACATAATCATTAGTACAAGCTATTAGGTATTAGACAATGTCAAAATAAATCTGAAATCTCTGATCATTACTAGGTTAGGTCAGACTATTCACAAAATGTTTACATATAGCAATAAAAGTAAAGAACGTTTCTAATGACATCAGTCAGTTCTGGTATGAAATTTACTAATTTACCAATTCAACCAAAGTAAATGCATACATCTTTATCATAAAACTGAACAATAAATTGAAAAGAATTAAAGAAAAATGAAGAATTTCTTCATCGAATGTTACTACTTCCACCCCTACTGAGTACCAGTAGTCAAACTCAGTTTTGACACTGGAATGTTGTGGCTATTATTTCACGTTACACATTTATTATGAACAAGTTTAGTGATGCATCAATAAATATAACACACATACACTGACTAGCAGTAACCAACAAGTAGCAATGCTTCAGTCACCATGTATCCATAATGTGTCACTATCACTGGGGGGAAAACGGAATATGCAGAATGGTGACATACATTATGCAGTCACTATTTTAAAATGTTCCCAGCATCATTATTGTACGAGTTATTGACCTTCTTAATGTAACATTTCCCACAGATATGTGTAACTATAAATGTGCGGAACAAGGCCTAGTTTCTCGAGATGTGGCAAGAGATGAGGCAAGAAAGTTGGGGCATTTGTCAGTGTCAGAAAATAACATACATATAACAGGCATCTATAAAACATTTCTCATCTGTACACCACACTGATACATGACTGGGGGTCGGACTTATGGCCAGCTGGGGATACAGTGGTCGGTACCCATGGGGTGTTGTTGGTGGTTCTCCTCCATGGCTACAGACCTTTAACTGCCCTTCCTCTGCTTGGTTGTATCCGTTTGAATAATTGGTAATAAATTAACATTATGTATCAATGTAGCAACATGCATCTCACCACAGTTTATAGTGAGGGCTTATCCATTTGGTTAAACATCGGGTAGAGTAGTCAAGTGACAACAAAACATCGATCACAGCTCCATCTACTGCATCCAATGTGTCTCACGCATAAATATCAGTTGCACAATAAATACAGACCAGTGGTATTCACTGTGACCTAGACAAATGGTGTGAGATATGATACAGGCAAATGGTCTTCACTGTAATGTAGACCATGGTATTCCCTGAAATAGAGACCAGTGGTATTCGCTGTAACACAGACAGATTGTATGCAATGTAACATTGACTATTATCAAGTATCTCCAACTGTAAGGATTAGCCCAAACAGCTATCACGGACATAAACTGAGTATTAGGATATGATGCTCTATCCTTGTTGAGAAACACGGAAAGGGAGACAGTCTGGAAGATCATCCTTCACCAGGAACGACTTTCAGCTGCTGCTAAGGAAAACATATACATATATATGTTACAGTAAATATGTACATTTACTGATTTTTTTTCAGTGATTATGTATGTTTACTGATTCCATCAGGGATTATGTATATTTAGTTAAATTATCAGGAATTATACATATTTACTGAAATCTACACTGATTCATTTTACATATTTACTGAAATCAAGATAAGTAAATATGTATAATCAGGGGTGGATACAGCTTTTTGAGAAAGAATGGGTGCACCAGTTGGATCACTGCCTGTGATTTCATAAACTTTCAGGACCAAAGGGGAGGTGCGCACCCCTGCATCCCCCCTCTGGATTCGCCTATGTTAATGAATCAGTGTAGATTATAGGTGAGTATTGACTTGCAATACTTGTACAGGAATGAACTGGGAAACACGCGTAAAGTCTCCTCATATATAGATAGCAGAGTCTGTTCCATCAACTGGAAAAAGGTTGTCAGCATGAAGGTTACACATCAACAAACACACATATAATAGTGCCATTGTGACTTGTGTTCCTTGTGTTCAGAGAATTTCTTATTAACCTACATTTAAACTAACAATTTTCATGATACACAATCTATGATGGCATTAAGACATAAACACAATGATGCCATGCTAACAAGCTAATATAACAAAAGAACTCTATAGGTTTTACCATCATATACCCGAATATGCTACATTTTCAAGTCATTTTAACATAAATCCCAATAGGCAATAAAGACGGGTTTTACCATTCAAAAGGCAATATTATCAAGTCTTAATAACGCAAGAACTCAAGAGGCTTCACTATTGTTCATCCTAAAAGACAATATTCACAAGTCATTTTAACACAAGAACTAGAGAAGTTTCACTATTCCTCATCCCAAAAGGCAATATTCACAAGTCATTAGAACACAAGTCATTATTTTTCCAAATAATCATGACAAAAAAACTAGAGAGGTTTCACTATTCTTCATCCCAAGAAGCAACATTTACAAGTCATTATAACACAAGAATTAGAGATGTACACAAGTCATTATAACACAAGAACTAGGGAGGTTTCACTATTGTGCATCCCAAAGGGCAATACTCACAAGTCATTATAGCACAAGAACTAGAATGGTTTTACCATTCTTCACCCCAATAGGCAATATTTACAAGTCATCACAGAACACAAAAGGCTGAAAGATTATACCATTCTTCACCCCAAGAGGCAAAACATTTTCTACAAATAATCATAACATAAGAACTAGAGAGGCTTCACTATTCTTCATCCCAAAAGGCAATATTTACAAGTCATCATAACACAAAAAGTAGAGAGGTTTCACCTTCCTACATCCCAAAGGGCAATATCCACAAGTGATTTATATTACAAGAATTAGAGATGTTTTACTATTCTTCATCCCTAAAGGCAATATTTACAAGTCATTAAAGCACAAGAACTAGAACGGTTTTACCATTCTACATCCAAAAAGGCAATATCCACAAGTCATCATAACACAAGAACTAGGGAGGTTTCACCATTTTACATCCCAAAGGGCAATATTCACAAGTGATTATATTACAAGAATTAGAGATGTTGCGCTATTCTTCATCCCAAAAAGGCAATATTTACAAGTCATTATAGCCCAAGAACTAGAACGGTTTTACTATTCTACATCCCAAAGGGCAATATTCACAAGTCATCATAACACAAGAATTAGAGATGTTTCGCTATTCTTCATCCCTAAAGGCAATAATTACAAGACTTTATAACACAAGAACTAGGCAGATTTTACTATCCTACAGCCCAAAAGTCAATATTCAAATGTCATTATAACACAAGAACAAGAGAGATTTTAACCATCCTACATCTCAAAAGGCAATATTCACAAGTCATCATAACACAAGAATTAGAGATGTTTAGCTTTTTTTCATCCCAAAAGGCAATATTCACAAGTCATTTATAACACAAGAACAAGGCACATTTTACTATCCTACAACCCAAAAGTCAATATTCACATGTCATTATAACACAAGAACTAGAGAGGTTTTAACCATCCTACATCCCAAAGGGCAATATTCACAAGTCATCATAACACAAGAATTAGAGATGTTTACCTATTCTTCATCCCAAAAGGCAATATTCACAAGTCATTATAGCACAAAAACTAGAATGGTTTTACCATTCTTCGCCCCAAGAGGCAATATTCACATGTCATCATAACAAAAGAACTAGAGAGGTTTCACTATTCTTCATCGAAAAAGGCAGTATTCAGAAGTGATTAATAACACAAAACTAGCGAGATTTCACTAATCTTTATCCCTAAAGGCAATATTTACAAGTCATTATAACACAAGAACTAGGCAGATTTTACTATCCTACATCCCATAGGCAATAATTACAAGACTTTATAACACAAGAACTAGGCAGATTTTACTATCCTACAGCCCAAAAGTCAATATTCACATGTCATTATAACACAAGAACTAGAGAGGTTTTAACAATCCTACATCCCAAAAAGGCAATATTCACAAGCCATCATAACACAAGAAGTAGAGAGGTTTCACTGTTCTTCATTCCAAAGGGCAATATTTACAAGTCATAACAAAACACAAGAATTAGAGATGTTTAGCTTTTCTTCATCCCAAAAGGCAATATTCACAAGTCATTATACCACAAGAACAAGGCACATTTTATTATCCTACAACCCAAAAGTCAATATTCACATGTCATTATAACACAAGAACTAGAGAGGTTTTAACCATCCTACATCCCAAAGGGCAACATTCACAAGTCATCATAACACAAGAATTAGAGATGTTTACCTATTCTTCATCCCAAAAGGCAATATTCACAAGTCATTATAGCACAAAAACTACCATTCTTCACACCAATAGGCAATGTTACAAATCATCACAGAACACAAAAAGTCGAAAGATTTTACCATTCCTCACCCCAAGAAGCAAAACATTTTTTACAGATAATCATAACATAAGAACTAGAGAGGCTTCACTATTCTTCATCCCAAAAGGCAATATTTACAAGTCATCATAACACAAGAACAAGAGAGGTTTCACCATTCTTCATCCCAAAGGGCAATATTCACATGTCATTATAACACAAGAACAAGAGAGGTTTCACCATTCTTCATCCCAAAGGGCAATATTCACAAGCCATAACACAAGAAGTAGAGAGGTTTCACCATTCTTCATCCCAAAGGGCAATATTCACAAGCCATAACACAAGAAGTAGAGAGGTTTCACCATTCTTCATCACAAAGGGCAGTATTCACATGTCATTATAATACAAGAACAAGAGAGGTTTCACCATTCTTCATCCCAAAGGGCAATATTCACATGTCATTATAACAAGAGAACAAGAGAGGTTTCACTATTCTTCATCGAAAAAGGCAGTATTCAGAAGTGATTTATAACACAAAACTAGCAAGATTTCACTAATCTTTATCCCTAAAGACAATATTCACAAGTCATTATAACACAAGAACTGGGCACATTTTACCATCCTACATCCCAAAGGGCAATATTCACAAGTCATTATAACACAAGAATTAGAGATGTTTCGCTATTCTTCATCCCTAAAGTCAATATTCACATGTCATTATAACACAAGAACTAGAGAGGTTTTAACCATCCTACATCCCAAAGGGCAATATTCACAAGTCATCATAACACAAGAATTAGAGATGTTTACCTATTCTTCATCCCAAAAGGCAATATTCACAAGTCATTATAGCACAAAAACTAGAACGGTTTTACCATTCTTCGCCCCAAGAGGCAATATTCACATGTCATCATAACAAAAGAACTAGAGAGGCTTCACTATTCTTCATCGAAAAAGGCAGTATTCAGAAGTGATTTATAACACAAAACTAGCGAGATTTCACTAATCTTTATCCCTAAAGGCAATATTTACAAGTCATTATAACACAAGAACTAGGCAGATTTTACTATCCTACATCCCATAGGCAATAATTACAAGACTTTATAACACAAGAACTAGGCAGATTTTACTATCCTACAGCCCAAAAGTCAATATTCACATGTCATTATAACACAAGAACTAGAGAGGTTTTAACAATCCTACATCCCAAAAGGCAATATTCAAGCCATCATAACACAAGAAGTAGAGAGGTTTCTAACTGTTCTTCATTCCAAGGGCAATATTTACAAGTCATAACAAAACACAAGAATTAGAGATGTTTAGCTTTTCTTCATCCCAAAAGGCAATATTCACAAGTCATTATACCACAAGAACAAGGCACATTTTATTATCCTACAACCCAAAAGTCAATATTCACATGTCATTATAACACAAGAACTAGAGAGGTTTTAACCATCCTACATCCCAAAGGGCAACATTCACAAGTCATCATAACACAAGAATTAGAGATGTTTACCTATTCTTCATCCCAAAAGGCAATATTCACAAGTCATTATAGCACAAAAAAAACTACCATTCTTCACACCAATAGGCAATGTTACAAATCATCACAGAACACAAAAGTCGAAAGATTTTACCATTCCTCACCCCAAGAGGCAAAACATTTTTACAGATAATCATAACATAAGAACTAGAGAGGCTTCACTATTCTTCATCCCAAAAGGCAATATTTACAAGTCATCATAACACAAGAACAAGAGAGGTTTCACCATTCTTCATCCCAAAGGGCAATATTCACATGTCATTATAACACAAGAACAAGAGAGGTTTCACCATTCTTCATCCCAAAGGGCAATATTCACAAGCCATAACACAAGAAGTAGAGAGGTTTCACCATTCTTCATCCCAAAGGGCAATATTCACAAGCCATAACACAAGAAGTAGAGAGGTTTCACCATTCTTCATCACAAAGGGCAGTATTCACATGTCATTATAATACAAGAACAAGAGAGGTTTCACCATTCTTCATCCCAAAGGGCAATATTCACATGTCATTATAACACGAGAACAAGAGAGGTTTCACTATTCTTCATCGAAAAAGGCAGTATTCAGAAGTGATTTATAACACAAAACTAGCAAGATTTCACTAATCTTTATCCCTAAAGACAATATTCACAAGTCATTATAACACAAGAACTGGGCACATTTTACCATCCTACATCCCAAAGGGCAATATTCACAAGTCATTATAACACAAGAATTAGAGATGTTTCGCTATTCTTCATCCCTAAAGTCAATATTCACATGTCATTATAACACAAGAACTAGAGAGGTTTTAACCATCCTACATCCCAAAGGGCAATATTCACAAGTCATCATAACACAAGAATTAGAGATGTTTACCTATTCTTCATCCCAAAAGGCAATATTCACAAGTCATTATAGCACAAAAACTAGAACGGTTTTACCATTCTTCGCCCCAAGAGGCAATATTCACATGTCATCATAACAAAAGAACTAGAGAGGCTTCACTATTCTTCATCGAAAAAGGCAGTATTCAGAAGTGATTTATAACACAAAACTAGCGAGATTTCACTAATCTTTATCCCTAAAGGCAATATTTACAAGTCATTATAACACAAGAACTAGGCAGATTTTACTATCCTACATCCCATAGGCAATAATTACAAGACTTTATAACACAAGAACTAGGCAGATTTTACTATCCTACAGCCCAAAAGTCAATATTCACATGTCATTATAACACAAGAACTAGAGAGGTTTTAACAATCCTACATCCCAAAAGGCAATATTCACAAGCCATCATAACACAAGAAGTAGAGAGGTTTCACTGTTCTTCATTCCAAAGGGCAATATTTACAAGTCATAACAAAACACAAGAATTAGAGATGTTTAGCTTTTCTTCATCCCAAAAGGCAATATTCACAAGTCATTATAACACAAGAACAAGGCACATTTTACTATCCTACAACCCAAAAGTCAATATTCACATGTCATTATAACACAAGAACTAGAGAGGTTTTAACCATCCTACATCCCAAAGGGCAACATTCACAAGTCATCATAACACAAGAATTAGAGATGTTTACCTATTCTTCATCCCAAAAGGCAATATTCACAAGTTATTATAGCACAAAAACTACCATTCTTCACACCAATAGGCAATGTTACAAATCATCACAGAACACAAAAAGTCGAAAGATTTTACCATTCCTCACCCCAAGAGGCAAAACATTTTTTACAGATAATCATAACATAAGAACTAGAGAGGCTTCACTATTCTTCATCCCAAAAGGCAATATTTACAAGTCATCATAACACAAGAACAAGAGAGGTTTCACCATTCTTCATCCCAAAGGGCAATATTCACATGTCATTATAACACAAGAACAAGAGAGGTTTCACCATTCTTCATCCCAAAGGGCAATATTCACAAGCCATAACACAAGAAGTAGAGAGGTTTCACCATTCTTCATCCCAAAGGGCAATATTCACAAGCCATAACACAAGAAGTAGAGAGGTTTCACCATTCTTCATCACAAAGGGCAGTATTCACATGTCATTATAATACAAGAACAAGAGAGGTTTCACCATTCTTCATCCCAAAGGGCAATATTCACATGTCATTATAACACGAGAACAAGAGAGGTTTCACTATTCTTCATCGAAAAAGGCAGTATTCAGAAGTGATTTATAACACAAAACTAGCAAGATTTCACTAATCTTTATCCCTAAAGACAATATTTACAAGTCATTATAACACAAGAACTGGGCACATTTTACCATCCTACATCCCAAAGGGCAATATTCACAAGTCATTATAACACAAGAATTAGAGATGTTTCGCTATTCTTCATCCCTAAAGGCAATATTTACAAGTCATTATAACAAAAGAACTAGGCAGATTTTACTATCCTACATCCTATAGGCAATAATTACAAGACTTTATAACACAAGAACTAGGCAGATTTTACTATCCTACAGCCCAAAAGTCAATATTTACATGTCATTATAACACAAGAACAAGAGAGATTTAAACCATCCTACATCTCAAAAGGCAATATTCACAAGTCATCATAACACAAGAATTAGAGATGTTTAGCTTTTCTTCATCCCAAAAGGCAATATTCACAAGTCATTATAACACAAGAACAAGGCACATTTTACTATCCTACAACCCAAAAGTCAATATTCACATGTCATTATAACACAAGAACTAGAGAGGTTTTAACCATCCTACATCCCAAAGGGCAATATTCACAAGTCATCATAACACAAGAATTAGAGATGTTTACCTATTCTTCATCCCAAAAGGCAATATTCACAAGTCATTATAGCACAAAAACTAGAACGGTTTTACCATTCTTCGCCCCTATAGGCAATGTTACAAATCATCACAGAACACAAAAAGTTGAAAGATTTTACCATTTTTCACCCCAAGAGGCAAAACATTTTTTACAGATAATCATAACATAAGAACTAGAGAGGCTTCACTATTCTTCATCCCAAAAGGCAATATTTACAAGTCATCATAACACAAGAAATAGAGAGGTTTCACCTTCCTACATCCCAAAGGGCAACATTCACATGTCATTATAACACAAGAACAAGAGAGGTTTCACCATTCTTCATCCCAATGGGCAATATTCACATGTCATTATAACACAAAAACAAGAGAGGTTTCACCATTCTTCATCCCAAAGGGCAATATTCTCATGTCATTATAACACAAGAACAAGAGAGGTATCACCGTTCTACATCCTAAAGGGCAATATTCACCAGTGATTATATTACAAGAATTAGAGATGTTGCGCTATTCTTCATCCCAAAAAGGCAATATTTACAAGTCAATGTAGCACAAGAACATCCTACATCTAAATCCAAAAGGACAATATCCACAAGTCATCATAACACAAGAACTAGGGAGGTTTCACCATTCTTCATCCCACAGGGCAATATTCACAAGTGATTATATTACAAGAATTAGAGATGTTGTGCTATTCTTACTGTCTCAAGTTTGAATAATAGATAAGATAGAATCACTACGTTGTTATTTACATCTGAACAAAGAATGTACAAAAAGGAATGATAATAATATGAAAAACAAATACCAAGACTAAGTATCTCTTCTGGGAAGTGAGTAAAAACAACCATATCTTCGCAATCTTCAAAAACAAAAAATGATTAAACATATTTTTTGAAATGGTTGAGGGAGAGTTGATTTGTCATATAGATATATGTCCAAAACATCTAACTACAGTGTGTGAATGACAATGCCATGACAGTTGGCTGTATGAAGATTGGCTGCAAGGCTTCCTACCGCCTGAAGGAAACTGCCACCATGGACATGGTCCACGCTGTTCTGCTGTCTATGAGTCCTGGACCATAAGAGTGTGAACAGATTCTACCTGTGAACAAAAAGCACAACAAGTGTCACAGTGCTATTACATACAACCTGTGTCTCAGTGAGAGGGTGCTGTAACATACAACCTGTGTCTCAGTGAGAGGTTGCCATGACATACAACCTGTGTCTCAGTGAGAGGGTGTCATAACATACAACCTGTGTTTCAGTGAGAGGTTGCCATGACATACAACCTGTGTCTCAGTGAGAGGGTACCATAACATACAACCAGTGTCTCAGTGAGAGGGTGCTGTAACATACAACCTGTGTCTCAGTGAGAGGGTGCTGTAACCTACAACCTGTGTCTCAGTGAGAGGGTGCCATAACATACAACCTGTGTCTCAGTGAGAGGGTGCTGTAACATACAACCTGTGTCTCAGTGAGAGGTTGCCATGACATACAACCTGTGTCTCAGTGAGAGGGTGCTATTACATACATCCAGTGTCTCAGTGAGAGGGTACCATAACATACATCCAGTGTCTCAGTGAGAGGGTACCATAACATACAACCTGTGTCTCAGTGAGAGGGTGCCATAACATACAACCTGTGTTTCAGTGAGAGGGTGCCATAACATACATCAAGTGTTTCAGTGTGAGGGTACCATAACATACATCCAGTGTCTCAGTGAGATGGTACCATAACATACATCCAGTGTCTCAGTGAGAGGGTACCATAACATACAACCTGTGTCTCAGTGAGAGGGTGCTGTAACATACAACCTGTGTCTCAGTGAGAGGGTGCCATAACATACATCCAGTGTTTCAGTGAGAGGGTGCTGTAACAAACAACCTGTGTCTCAGTGAGAGGGTACCATAACATACAACCTGTGTCTCAGTGAGAGGGTGCTGTAACATACAACCTGTGTCTCAGTGAGAGGGTGCTGTAACATACAACCTGTGTCTCAGTGAGAGGGTCCTGTAACATACAACCAGTGTCTCAGTGAGAGGTTGTCATAACATACGAGTGTCTCAGTGAGAGGTTGCCATAACATACGAGTGTCTCAGTGAGAGGGTACCATAACATACAACCAGTGTCTCAGTGAGAGGGCGCCATAACATACGAGTGTCTCAGTGAGAGGTTGCCATAACATACAACCAGTGTCTCAGTGAGAGGGTACCATAACATACAACCAGTGTCTCAGTGAGAGGGCGCCATAACATACGAGTGTCTCAGTGAGAGGTTGCCATAACATACATCCAGTGTTTCAGTGTGAGGGTGCCATAACATAGATCCTGTGTCTCAGTGAGAGGGTGCCATAACATCCATCCAGTGTCTCAGTGAGAGGGTGCTGTAACATACAACCAGTGTCTCAGTGAGAGGGTGCCATAACATACATCCAGTGTTTCAGTGAGAGGGTGCCATAACATACATCCAGTGTTTCAGTGAGAGGGTGCCATAACATACAGCCAGTGTCTCAGTGAGAGGGTGCCATAACATACATCCAGTGTCTCAGTGAGAGGGTGCCATAACATACATCCAGTGTCTCAGTGAGAGGGTGCTGTAACATACAACCTGTGTCTCAGTGAGAGGGTACCATAACATACAACCTGTGTTTCAGTGAGAGGTTGCCATGACATACAACCTGTGTCTCAGTGAGAGGGTGCCATAACATACAACCTGTGTCTCAGTGAGAGGGTACCATAACATACATCCAGTGTCTCAGTGTGAGGGTGCCATGACATACATCCTGTGTCTCAGTGAGAGGGTGCCATAACATACATCCAGTGTTTCAGTGAGAGGGTGCTGTAACATACAACCTGTGTCTCAGTGAGAGGGTACCATAACATACAACCTGTGTTTCAGTGAGAGGTTGCCATGACATACAACCTGTGTCTCAGTGAGAGGGTGCCATAACATACAACCTGTGTTTCAGTGAGAGGTTGCCATGACATACAACCTGTGTCTCAGTGAGAGGGTACCATAACATACATCCAGTGTCTCAGTGAGAGGGTGCCATAACATACATCCTGTGTCTCAGTGAGAGGGTGCCATAACATACATCCAGTGTTTCAGTGAGAGGGTGCCATAACATACAACCAGTGTCTCAGTGAGAGGGTGCTGTAACATACAACCTGTGTCTCAGTGAGAGGGTGCCATAACATACATCCAGTGTTTCAGTGAGAGGGTGCTGTAACAAACAACCTGTGTCTCAGTGAGAGGGTACCATAACATACAACCTGTGTCTCAGTGAGAGGGTGCTGTAACATACAACCTGTGTCTCAGTGAGAGGGTACCATAACATACAACCTGTGTCTCAGTGAGAGGGTGCTGTAACATACAACCTGTGTCTCAGTGAGAGGGTGCTGTAACATACAACCTGTGTCTCAGTGAGAGGGTCCTGTAACATACAACCAGTGTCTCAGTGAGAGGTTGTCATAACATACGAGTGTCTCAGTGAGAGGTTGCCATAACATACTGAGAGTGTCTCAGTGAGAGGGTACCATAACATACAACCAGTGTCTCAGTGAGAGGGCGCCATAACATACGAGTGTCTCAGTGAGAGGTTGCCATAACATACAACCAGTGTCTCAGTGAGAGGGTACCATAACATACAACCAGTGTCTCAGTGAGAGGGCGCCATAACATACGAGTGTCTCAGTGAGAGGTTGCCATAACATACATCCAGTGTTTCAGTGTGAGGGTGCCATAACATAGATCCTGTGTCTCAGTGAGAGGGTGCCATAACATCCATCCAGTGTCTCAGTGAGAGGGTGCTGTAACATACAACCAGTGTCTCAGTGAGAGGGTGCCATAACATACATCCAGTGTTTCAGTGAGAGGGTGCCATAACATACATCCAGTGTTTCAGTGAGAGGGTGCCATAACATACAGCCAGTGTCTCAGTGAGAGGGTGCCATAACATACATCCAGTGTCTCAGTGAGAGGGTGCCATAACATACATCCAGTGTCTCAGTGAGAGGGTGCTGTAACATACAACCTGTGTCTCAGTGAGAGGGTACCATAACATACAACCTGTGTTTCAGTGAGAGGTTGCCATGACATACAACCTGTGTCTCAGTGAGAGGGTGCCATAACATACAACCTGTGTCTCAGTGAGAGGGTACCATAACATACATCCAGTGTCTCAGTGTGAGGGTGCCATGACATACATCCTGTGTCTCAGTGAGAGGGTGCCATAACATACATCCAGTGTTTCAGTGAGAGGGTGCTGTAACATACAACCTGTGTCTCAGTGAGAGGGTACCATAACATACAACCTGTGTTTCAGTGAGAGGGTGCCATGACATACAACCTGTGTCTCAGTGAGAGGGTGCCATAACATACAACCTGTGTTTCAGTGAGAGGTTGCCATGACATACAACCTGTGTCTCAGTGAGAGGGTACCATAACATACATCCAGTGTCTCAGTGAGAGGGTGCCATAACATACATCCTGTGTCTCAGTGAGAGGGTGCCATAACATACATCCAGTGTTTCAGTGAGAGGGTGCCATAACATACAACCAGTGTCTCAGTGAGAGGGTGCTGTAACATACAACCTGTGTCTCAGTGAGAAGGTGCTGTAACATACAACCTGTGTCTCAATGAGAGGGTGCTGTAACACACAACCAGTGTCTCAGTGAGAGGGTGCCATAACATACATCCAGTGTTTCAGTGAGAGGGTGCTGTAACATACAACCTGTGTCTCAGTGAGAGGGTGCTGTAACATACAACCAGTGTCTCAGTGAGAGGGTGCCATAACATACATCCAGTGTTTCAGTGAGAGGGTGCCATAACATACAACCTGTGTCTCAGTGAGAGGGTGCTGTAACAAACAACCAGTGTCTCAGTGAGAGGGTGCCATAACATACATCCAGTATTTCAGTGAGAGGGTGCTGTAACATACAACCTGTGTCTCAGTGAGAGGGTACCATAACATACAACCTGTGTTTCAGTGAGAGGTTGCCATGACATACAACCTGTGTCTCAGTGAGAGGGTGCCATAAAATACAACCTGTGTCTCAGTGAGAGGGCGCCATAACATACGAGTGTCTCAGTGAGAGGTTCCCATAAGATACAACCAGAGTCTCAGTGAGAGGGTACCATAACATACAACCAGTGTCTCAGTGAGAGGGCGCCATAACATACGAGTGTCTCAGTGAGAGGGTGCCATAACATACATCCAGTGTTTCAGTGAGAGGGTGCCATAACATACATCCTGTGTCTCAGTGAGAGGGTGCCATAACATACATCCAGTGTCTCAGTGAGAGGGTGCTGTAACATACAACCAGTGTCTCAGTGAGAGGGTGCCATAACATACATCCAGTGTTTCAGTGAGAGGGTGCCATAACATACATCCAGTGTTTCAGTGAGAGGGTGCTGTAACATACAACCAGTGTCTCAGTGAGAGGGTGCCATAACATACATCCAGTGTGTCAGTGAGAAGGTGCCATAACATACATCCAGTGTTTCAGTGAGAGGGTGCTGTAACATACAGCCAGTGTCTCAGTGAGAGGGTGCCATAACATACATCCAGTGTCTCAGTGAGAGGGTGCCATAACATACATCCAGTGTCTCAGTGAGAGGGTGCCATAACATACAACCTGTGTCTCAGTGAGAGGGTACCATAACATACAACCTGTGTTTCAGTGAGAGGTTGCCATGACATACAACCTGTGTCTCAGTGAGAGGGTGCCATAACATACAACCTGTGTCTCAGTGAGAGGGTACCATAACATACATCCAGTGTCTCAGTGTGAGGGTGCCATAACATACATCCTGTGTCTCAGTGAGAGGGTGCCATAACATACATCCTGTGTTTCAGTGAGAGGGTGCTGTAACATACAACCTGTGTCTCAGTGAGAGGGTATCATAACATACAACCTGTGTTTCAGTGAGACGTTGCCATGACATACAACCTGTGTCTCAGTGAGAGGGTGCCATAACATACAACCTGTGTTTCAGTGAGAGGGTGCCATAACATACATCCAGTGTCTCAGTGTGAGGGTGCCATAACAAACATCCTGTGTCTCAGTGAGAGGGTGCCATAACATACATCCAGTGTTTCA